TCAGGGTAACTATTGAAAGGTATGAATTTAGTGCCATTGTATTGCCTGTAAGGTGACTGTTACTGTAGATTGTCTGTGTTCCTTTCTGATCTATGCTGCTTTTAGGCTCTTTTTGCTTAGAGGACCTCTTTCAATATTTCTTTGCAGTTCTTTTTTTTTTTAAATTAATTAATTTTATTTATTTTTCTTTTTTTTAATTTTATTATGTTTTGTTTGTCACCATACAATACATCATTAGGTTTTGATGTGGTGGTCCATGATCCATTGTTTTCGTATAACACCCAGTGCTCCATGCAGTACGTGCCCTCCTTAATACCCATCACCGGGCTAACCAATCCCCTCTCCGCCCTCCCCTCTAAAACCCTGTTTGTCTCTCAGAGTCCATAGTCTTTCATGGTTCATCTCTCCCTCCTATTCCCGCCCCCCATTTTTCCCTTCCTTCTCCTATCGTCCTCCATGATATTCCTTATGTTCCACAGAGAAGTGAAACCATATTTTAATTGACTTTCTCTGCTTGACTTATTTCACTTAGTATAATATCCTCCAGGCGCATCCATGTGGATGGAAAAGTTTGGTATTCAGCCTTTCTGATGGCTGAGTCATATAAAGGTGTTTCTTATTTTTTTAGGTAAACATTGTCAAAGTGCAATGCATTTTTGAAAAAAAAATTATATAATACAGACCTTAAAATTGAATCACTGGTTTTAATGGTTGGCACCTTTCAAATGAATGAACATAGCAGGATTTTATTATTTAAAATTGTTGTTTGGGGACGGGATTCTTTCCAGTTTCTGATATTACAATAAAGTTTCTTCTCACTCTGGAGGTGTATCTGTGGATCTCAGAGAATATATTATTTATATGCTTTCCATAACAACCATGAATGTGAAGAAGATGCAGAGGGAAAATTTTGCATCAATACTGGATTTCTCTGCCCTGTTACGTTCTTATTTTATATAGGTGTTTTTGAATGTTCAATGTCAAACATGGCAATATAAATAAAACACAATTAAAATTATGAAGTTTTTGTGAAAATGGCCATAAGAACATGCGAGTACAAGGTTAAGGATATTTTTTCGAAAAGCTTGATGCCCATAATGATAATTTGGTGTAACCATTATCAGAAATCCAGTGTATCATTTATAGCAATGGATTATAGGACCAGCATATAATTCAAATCCCTGTCCATTAAGGGATTTGATTAATTTAATTTTATGTCGAAATAATATCAGGCTGTGGACACAGTCCTATTTCCCATCTGGGGTCTGTGTTTCTGTGGCAATGAGATGATTCTATTCTAGGAGGCAGGAGAGGATCTGCTGGGACATTGACAACTTCTTCAGGAGTTACTTTCAGAAGAATCTCTCCCTTCTGCCAGTCCCTGTTTGGGTCTGCCTGTGACCTTGGGAATGCTGTCACCACGTCCATCCATGATCGGTGTCCCCTAGGTTTTTGAAGTGACATAAAATTGATTTAACATCACGATACTGGAAACACTCTGGCGGTCACTTCCCTCAGATCATCTACAGTCTTTAGCTGCTTGATGGCACTAGGTGATTCCAAAGCCTGTTAGTTAAATGTTCTATTATATCACAGTTCAGGGTACAGACAAATTAGTTACAGCCTTGAGTCAGTACTTGGGAGGAAAGCTCACAAAGAGAGTCAGAATATATCCTGCTCATGTGTCACCATCAGTAGCATAGTCCTGGGGAACCTGGGAAGTGGGACATTGAGAGAAACCAGTCTTCAGGGGTCCATAGAACACAGGTAGATGGACTTTATCCCACGTCCACCTTCCATGGCATGTGCAAATGTTTTATTTCATGAATGTGTCCTTTCCCATGTTGTGAAGTCATTCCTGAACCAAAGCCTCCATCCCTTTTAGCTGATGGAAAGTTTCTTGATTTGGGTTTCCATCCTGAGTTGTACCAGCTTTCATATCCAGGGACTGAGACACACACCTGACAGCTGTCTGGTGGGACAACTGTGCATGGTGTGGCTCAGACTCAAAGAACACATGGTTGTCACATCCACAGTCTCCTGGTAAGTTTGAGAAAACAGCGTCCTCAAGATAAAATTACACGGATTGCAGCGATTCATGGTATCCGTTGTCCATAGATACTCCTACTGGTACTCATGAGATTATGGTCCCATGCATTCTGCTGTGGGGACATTTAAAAAAGGTTCATATATCATATCCATCCTAAACCAACAAATTCAGGCTTCCTCTCCACTCTAAGGTTTTGGCAGCTTCTTTTGACTTTTAGGAAATTCAGTCTAATAGAAAAAACTTTGACCCTATTGGATGAGACAAGGACTTCTGTTCTGCCTCCAGATCCCCCAGCTTCCATCCCTGAATGGTCCTGTGCATCAGGAAATCTGCCAACTTGCCATACCATCCAAAATGTACCTGCTTCCCCTGTAAAGAGACATGGTGTGGTGCTAATAATGTTCCTGCAATTCTTGTCCTTTGGGAGCACACATCATATCCTGTTCAAAGGCCTGGGCTCACTGCCAGGAGGTGCATACTTCTCTGTGCCTGTCATTGAGTCAGGTTATGTACATGGAGCACATATGTGAACCATTACTGAGTGCAAAATAGTATAATAATTGCATAACACTTAATGGGATTCCACACTCAAACAGCAATTGTATCATAAAACCACTGGATCAGAATAGAGAGGGAAATAAGGATATTCTGAAACACAACACCAGATTGCAAGTCTGAGCTTCAGCATATACAGCAGAAGGAATTTATCACACCCTCTTTGCTATAAGTAAATGAGGGAGGGAGGAAGTGTGATGGAGTAGGGGTAAGTGTCCCTACACTTGTCTCAACCCTGGAATGCAGCTAGGTAGTTATCAAGTCATTCTGAGCAACCAAGAAATCAGTCGGGTTGTGAGAGAACAAAAACTGCAAGTGTACAAATAGAAAAATCAACCACCTTTTGGAATATAGGAGGTGTGCAGTTTTGTCTTGGGGGTGATACAAG